TTTTCTCCCAAACATATTATTTTCACTTTCATTTTCACAGTTTAACTTCACACAAAACGCCTCACACTACCCTTATCAGACTATCCATTCCAGACTAAGTACTTAACCGTTTCCTTATTCGTCATATCTAGTGACTGAAATATGTCTCACTACTAGCACTTAAGCAAATATTATTCTAATTTTTTCACAACACGCTACAAATAAGTATAATAGAATAAATGTCATAGGTTGCAGTTTCGGCGATGGAACACGAACAAAACGAACGATGGGTCGGACGAAGTCATTGCCTGGATGAGAATTGTGGCTCGCAGCAGCTGATCGGCCACTTTCGCCGTTTCTTTGGGTCAGCAGTAGGCGTTTGGCAGAGCACTACCTCAATGGGCCACGGCCCGCGCACGATTCTTCCTTCCCCATCCTACTCCTCCACTCTCGTCCCCTTCTTTTTTTCTCTGGCCCCTCTCCGCGTAATCCGCACATACGCTTGCAGAATTTGCTACTTCTCGGATCTAAAGGTAGAAGCTCCTTCGCAGAGACGCAAGGTGAGGGGGAGAGGGGTGCAACAGAGGGGACGGCATGAGGTCAGGAAAAAAAGGTAAAAGGTTATCTCAGACCCACATGTCCTTTCCCCTATTTCCAGCCCCAAACAAAGATACCCGTCCTCCACCGATCGCTTGCATGGTCCGGGCGTCGGTGCAGTTGGCCGCGTGGGCGTCTCGCTTCACGCTCCGCGGCGGCGCCTCCCCCACCCCACTCCCCTGCCCCGCCCCCTCTCACGCCGCGCTCTCTGCGGGAGAAAAACGCCTCCTGCTGTGCTTTTCCTTTTGCCTCCGACCGTCTATTTAACTGACTCCATTCAGGTCTGCTCGGATCCGGCCTCCGGACTGACCTGGCGTACACGCGGCCAGGAAACGTAATGATTCTAGCACGAGCCTCCATTTTCCACGTGTTGACTAAAAATAAAGTTTTTATTTACGAATTTGCATTAAATGAATATCACTGAAATGTCCAAAAGTATTATATAAATGACAAATTTAATTTTTGCGGCAAATAATTCTTCCGACGGAATACGAGACGCTTGTAAAACCGGTTACCAAGAGAGTTGTTCATAGATCAACACAATATAATTTGTAGTATGTGGTTATGAATAAATAAGATGTTTTGGTTGTGAATAATTAATTATTAATTTATTAATGACTGGACATTATGAATGAATGAACATTACACACAAAGATAAGTACTAAATATTATTATAACTTCACACGTTCATTCCAAAACCTCTGAACAACATTTAAGAGAGCTGTGACCACCGGTGGACATTACTAGCGATTGTACACATGAAAATGGAAGGACGAAGGGGAACGTCGGGAAAGGCATTCCCGCAGGCACCGGTTATCTCCCTCACTGAATTTGCAGATATGACTTTGTAATACGGCGCTGCATGATTAGTTTGATCGCCGAAAATCGTGTATTCCCATCCTTTGATATCTAATCCAAGTAAAACACATTGATCAAAAACTATAATGCTTGCAGAAATAATGAACTGAATTTTCAAATTATGAAGTTAGCACACGTCGGGAAAGGCATTCCCCAAGGCACCGGTTATCTCCTTCACTGACTTTGCAGATACGACTTTCTAATATGGTGCTGCATGATGACTTTGAAAGCCGAAAATCGTGTATTCCCATCCTTCGATATCTAATCCAAGTAAAACACGTTGATCAAAAACTATAATGCTTGCAGAAATAAATGAACTGAATTTGCATATTATGAAGTTAGCACACGATCTTCGACCACCTAAAACGATAATATAGATATTTACTGCACGTTTTATGTAGTCTCCCGTTGGTGCGATTAAGCTTGCGCGGGGAAGCATGACGCTGCGAAACCCATGAGCGAGGTCTCGAGGTGAAGGGGCACAAGTCACCGGCAGGTCGCCACGTGTGCACCGGGAGGTAGGTGGGCGGGCGGGCGGCGCCGACAGGGCGAGGGAAACCCCGGCTCACCGGCCCCTCCCGTTTTCCGCACCCCGCCCTGTCAAAAGGCAGCGGCGCCCGCCCGGCAACTTAAGCGGTTTTCCAGAGGATAAACTTGTCAGGCTGAGGGAGTAACTGCAACCGGTCCTTTCAGCCGGGGAGGACGGAGAAAAGAAAAGTAGTGATGAAGTGCCCTGAGGGAGGGAGGGAAAAGTACAGAGGGCAGAGGGAGAGAGAGAGAAGAAGGGGGGTTACCTCAACGCGTGGGCGGCGGCGAGAAGTCTCGCAGCGCAACCAACACCTCGCAAGGGACTGTGCCTACGCGGGGCAAGGGCGCATTAAGATATGACGAGGAATCTGTAACCCCTTAAACGAAATTAAGAAAAGAAACAAGAAGCTTCGGCGTAATGAAGAGCGAATATTTCTCCTGTTTCCGTAGTGAATAATGATGGTATCACAACTCGTATAGCGTGACCCAACAAACAGAAGATTAAGGCTGAAGTATTTTATTTAAAACGCAATCGACGAATTACTTAAGCTCCAGGATCAACGTGCGTTTGCTAGCAAATCAGGAGGAAGCCTGCGCCTTTTTCTGTGCCGTTTCATTCGTTGCGAGGTAAGTATTATCTCAGAAGAGATCTTCTCAAAAAACTGTAGACGTATTTTGTTTACGCGACAAGCAATGCAATACTGCGAAGGCATACTTTCTCAGCAATTAGCGATCACATACATACATACACCCATTCCCGACAACAAGTGGAGCAACAAGAAATAACTACTTTCTGGTTGCCATAAAATACTTGGATGCAATGAAACAAATGGAAGAGCAACAGAGAAATCGAGATCGCAAGGGAAATAGCACTCTAATAGTAGCAATTTTGAGTTGTATTGTCCTTTTTTACTCACATTTCTAAGAGAGTTCGAACATTACGAAATCTTAAAGGTCCCATTAACTTTCTAAAACAATGCACCTTGGTGCGGATTACTCCCTTCCGTAGGCTTCCGCCGCTCGTGTTCATGCCTCTCAGCCAACGACGCGGCGTCACCCGGACAACCAAGAAGTCATTATTCGCTTCCGCCACGATCTCTCACGACAAGTGCAGCACTATGAATGACATGCGCCTACTCAAACAGGCGCTCGCCATAAATATACATTCGATCTATGTCAACGAGTACGAATCAATTCGCTACATAAGGCATGGAGCCGCCTGGCACCTCCGAGAACCGGTTGCTGCCGCCTCATGAATGTCTGGTCCAGCCACATGATGGAACGGCGCGTATATGTTTAGCGATCGTACGGTAATCGTCGCGTGACAACTGACAGAACCTGCGGTCGCGACGGTCCATCGCTCGCTGGCCACTCGCCCGCCTAATTGCTCGCATACACGTTCGCTTACTTGCTTATTTATTCACTCGCCCACTCACTCACCCTCTCACTCGTCCACTCGCTCACCCTCTCACTCGTCACTCACTCACCCTCTCACTCGTCCAGTCACTCACCTTCTCACTCGTCACTCACTCACCCTCTCACTCTCCACTCACTCAACTCTCCACTCACCCTCTCACTCGTCCACTCACTCACCCTCCTCACTCGTCCACTCACTCACCCTCTCACTCGTCCACTCACTCACCCTCTCACTCGTCCACTCACTCACGCCTCTCACTCGTCCACTCACTCACCCTCTCACTCGTCCATCTCACTCACCTCTCACTCGTCCTCACTACCTCTCCACTTCGTCCACTCACCACCTCTCACTCGTCCAACTCACTCACCTCTCACTCATCCACTCACTCGTATCCCCGTCACTCACTCCCTCTCACTCCGTCCACTCACTCACCCTCTGCACTCGCACGTCACTCACAACCCGCACTCGTCACTCACTCACCCCCTCACTCGTCCACTCACTCACCCTCTCACTCGTCCACTCACCGGCTTGCGCGGCCACTCGGTCGCTCGCCGCTCTCGCGAGACGCCCGAATGCAAAGGCGAGTGGGCATTGGCAATTCGATGAGGCCTCGACAATGAACTTGTTTCGCCGGCCGTCGCCTCGAAGGGCGAGAGTCGTGACTGATCTGAAAGCGGGGAGCGACGGCAGAGGCGGAGGCGGGCGCACGCGGCGGCGATAGCGGGAGCGAGAGCGGAGAGCAGCGGTAAACAATAAACCACCGCCGCTGCACCTGACATAAGCTGACGATGGGAGTCTTCCCCGGGCGCCCGTTTAGCAGTAACACAACAGCGATGGGCATGTTTAAATTAACGCATGTAAACTCAAATGAGAAATCGAAAGGAAAACTCAAGTTTTCCTCAAGAATGTATTGCGAAGTCGGCTACATGCTCAGCGATGTAATATTAAAAATGAATGGAGAATGAATAACATATAAAGATATTCGTATACACTGTGTGCAATTTTTAATACTAGAAAATAAGTTTAATTTCGCAATCGTATAAAGTATGATAAATTCAACATTCAAACAACAAAAACAGTAAACCACCAATATCTATTGTTTTATTTCAACAGTAGCCATCCTCAAATGGGATTATCCTCTCAGCCTTTTTTAACTTAGTCGCTTCTACCAAAACTTCTAAAGAATGAGACTTCGCGAGGACATAGGGAATAAGGGAGACATAATCAGAAGGATATAAAAGGCCTATGCAATGTGCTCGGGGTAACTACGTAAGTCACCGTGGAATTCTCTCTCTAAAGAAGAATAAAATTAGTTGGCTAGGAATCCCTATTAGTCCGGAACACAGATTCTTGGGCAAAAGCTGCAAATTCCCCATGAAGAAAATATATATTATATAATATTTACCACTCATCAACGATTGTAGACCGATTAGTCAACACATACGAGAAAGGAAAATCACTACTTCTGAACGACATTCAAAATTGAATCTATAATTGTTTTCCACACACATGAGCAAAGCAAAAAGGAATAACATCTCCCGCACGCTCCAAATCTACCATACACTAGTAGTGTTGCGCGAGTTGCTAGCATTTAGAAGAACGTCAGAAACTCTCCACTCACCTCAGGACCAACTCCGCTAAGCAGCCGCATTCGTTATCCAACCCAGATGAAAGATACAGCAACACAAATCAAAGTCAATATCCCTGACCTTCCCTTACGTCCTTGCTTACATCACTCTGGAGGCCCTCAACGACGGCAATCTCGAAGCTAACTTGCAAAGCATGGGTTCTGCATTCCATGATCTGCTCTGAAGCAGTCATTATCTGAACGAATGGTCAGTAATCTATGGAATTCAGTTTCGTTATTTGCTGTTCCCCAATTACTTTCCATAATATATATCAAACAAAAATTCAATTGATAATACTAAGTATTCAGACTGATGCGTCTGATGTCCATTATCTATTCAAAAACCCATACCCCATAAATAACAAAAAGAGAAGAGATCAAAATACATTATCACTAGTTAAATGCCAGCTGAATAAAAAGATATTAGCACGTACTTCAGCCACATATGTAACGCCACAACTGCTAAAAGTTACACACAGTAAAGATAAAAAAAGCAAGATTCTACAATAATTTAAGTATTGAAATATTTCAAACGGGAAACTTGTTCGAGACATTACTTTTAAGGTGGAAATCTTCAATGGTTTAAAATGAGTCTACCCAAGGACGCGAAGAAAGTGGCACATGAAACACGGAAGTCTGGCAGGAGAAAGATATAAGAGACTCGTAAGAATGTTTTACGCGGATGTAATGGGAGAAAGAAGATAAAAGAGTAGGAGTGCGGAACCCGTTCAGAGGAATGCGTTGGTAAGAGGTACACATGAGTGACGAAGCCGGGCAGGACAGCAGGTGGAGAGCTGGCGTAAGAAAGATTGTCCTTCAGGGCTGAAGCCCAGACCCAAATCGCACTGTTTGCAGACGACACTAATCTACAAGTCCAGCCAATCAATTAAAATCATTAGAGAAAAATACATCTACAGAATAGATAACTGGTCAACAATTAGGAAAATTAAATTAAACCCAACAAAATCCACTGCCACAATATTCTCGCTAAACCAATTCTATACCCTTTTCCCCTTTACATCAACAATACAATACCACGGACTTCTCACTGTCAAACAGTTAAATACTTTGGGCTGAATTTAGATAGAAAAATGAATTGGAATTCCCATATTACAATCAAAACACAACAGGCAATATGTAAAATAGAACAATTAAAATGTCTCATAAATTCCAAACGCTTCCTATCAATAGGCAATGCTATCACATTATACAAATCGATAATCATACACTTAATGTTATATACTCGCCCGGTTGGACAAATTCATCAGCTACAACCATAAACTAAATAAATCAAAATAGATTTCTCTGATTAACAACTCACGCTCCATGGTTTATATATCACAAACAATTACACAAAGAAATTATTAAACATCTATCACATTGCCCACTTCTCAAATAATTTTTACTCAAACATCAACTCTATACCACACGCCATTCACTATAACCTCGCCCCAGCATACCCAACTCCAACACGAATTAAAAACAGAAACCCATTTAACGCCTTCCTGAATATACATTCGCAAACAATTGTTAACGGTTGGTGCTAATTGTAGCTACCTACTCCCTGTTGTACTAACAGTTGTAAACCAACCAATGCACATTAAAAGTGTAACTGAACCATGCATTACTGATAGCAAAAAAAAAAAAGCATTAGCGATAACAGCAATGAAACGAGAGACGAGAACGCACGCTCTACCCTTCGCTGTACACCAGACGCGACCACGTAGTATCAACGCGAGTGTTGTCAGCGCCAACTAAGGTGGCCGAGCGGGCAACTCGATTTAAAAGAAACGCGTTCGCTGGCAGAGCCGGACGCCCAGCGACCTTGCGGGCCGCGCCGCTGTCGCCGCCGCCATCACCGTCTCCACCCCCCCTCCCTCGCGCAGGTGACTCGTGCCTTGGCGCGGGCCGCATGCCATCTAACCCAATTCACTTTTAGAACGGAGTTAATTTTACGCGCTTGCCATACACCCTGCAAACTGGTCGACGGGCTTCTGACCTGCTTCAACGCCTCTTCCGCACCTTCCTTGCACTTTGCAGCGCCGCGCGCCGCCTCCGCATTGAAGAGCCGTATGGACGTTGGAATCGGTAACTGAACGACGAGGAAACGAATCGCCATCCGGCGAACATTTGAAAGTTGATACGGTCTCGCCATTTCCCATGAATGAGATGATCAATAGCGTACATTGGCATTCCGCTTGCTCATGTTTTCAAATGGCATTCTTCATAACAAACATGCATAGATCACGAGAGATTCGGACAGGCCCTCAGCAAACGTAATAAACATGTTCCAGATATGTTATACCCAGGAATATTACAAAATTCTAGCATCAATGCAAAAATAAATTCAAAATAACTAGTGCATAATTTTAGAACATGTCATTCCCCTCTTCACTTAAACGCGAACCGACATTCCTTGGTAATTAATCATTTCATCTACTTCAGCAAAATTATTTCTGGTTTCACAGCTGGCACCCTGACAAATTTTCGTGCTGGTTATTCTAAGAAAATATTAATGCCACCCATCAAACGGTAATCACCACAGAAACGTCTTCCAAGTATTCGTGGATCTATCGCGAACGTTACTCAGTTACAAAATGGAGCTGCTAATTACAAATTATTTCCGCAATGCCGTCTCTTTTAATTCAATTATCGAATGCGTAACACCTAAAAACAAAACTTGACAAGAATTAAATACATATATACAAGTTAGAATAACAAAAAAACAACACGAAATATAGCATAAAATGAAACAAACTGAGACAGACGGACGCTCAATAAACGATACGTGTAGCCGCGTAAAACGAAAACCCGTCCTCCCACAACATAAGGAAAAGAATGTCACGAGCATCTGACGAACTATGTCACATTCCCCCGACGCCTGCCATGCACACATTTAACTAGCATCACGTGGATTCGCCTTCGAAAGGCGCGTCGAGAGACTCGCCACAGATTATGCGTCGTCTTCGGCGCTAGCATTGGCGGTGGCGGTGACAATGGAGGTGGCAATGGAGTTTGCAATGGCGGTGGCGACGGCGGTGGCGAAGGCGGTGGCGAAGGTGGTGGCGACGGCGGTGGCGACGGCAACGGTGGCAATGGCAATGGCGGTGGTGCAATCGGCGGCGGCTGTTGCAATGGCAGTCAATGGCAGTGGCAGAAGCGGGGGCGGGGGCGGGGACAGTGACGG